CGGTGTTGGTTTTAGCAGGGCCATGTGGCATGGGGTGGGCAATGGGGCAGAGCTCCCTTCCCTGGCACTGCCAACGCTCAGTGACAGTGGGCACCCGAGCTCACTCGCCGCCGGCTGGGGAGAGGAGCCCGGCCACCTCCCCGACTGTCCGGGTGTGGGGCAAGGTTTGCCGTGACTCAGTGCCGCCCGTGCCGTGCCAGCCCCGCGCTCAACCGCTGCCCAGGCAGAAGGAAAACGCCCCTGGGAAGTGCCACCGCTGCTGGGTGAACTTCCAGGAGGCAGCATGGCACCCAGCGCTGCCGTCCCGGTTACCGGCCCTCACCACGGGAAAGGTGCCTGAGCAGTGGGGCCAGCCCAGCCCCCTTTGCCAGCCCAGTGGCCGCTTTCCCTTCCGGACATCCCGGCAGGGTCGGTGACCGGTCGGTCCCTCCAGGCCAGTTGTTTGCACTCGCTGGTTCTCCTCCGCGTGGCGCAGCCTCGGCCCCCGTTGGCAGCAATGCCACAGACGGGGCTTTGTTTGGCCTCGGTGCGACGCACGCTCCTTCCCCGGATCCCGGCGATGGCACCTCCTCTGTTGGGACACTCGTTGCCACCGCCTCCTCCCAGGCGTGACGAGCCCGACGGGTTGGGGCGAAGGAAGGTACCGGCCAAACGAGTTCTCGTGCCGCAGCCCCGCGCCGAGGGGAATTGCCAGCGTCCCAATGCAAATACACGGCGTGATAACGCCGGGGCGCAGGGAGATCAGACGCTACCTGGCACTAGATAAACCGTCCCAGGTTGTAACATGGAGGGGGGAGGGAAAAACACCTGCCTCCTGCGCGGCGAGGCCGGCCCTGCCGCGGCCTCTGCTCTTGCCGCCCCCCAAAAATCCTCGTTGCGGGGAGTCAATGCCCTCGGTGGCGCTTGGGTTCTTGCTTTGGCTGGTTTTGGGCAGACGTACCCCAAGCAGCTCTTCGAGGGAGGTTTTGTGAAGCCCCGCTCCAGCTCCGGACCCCCACGGCGTTGCCGGTGCCTCTCCTCACCCGTTGGAGCTCCCAGGGCTGCGCCGTCCCGGTGCCGAGGGCTGCGGGAGCCCGGCGTCCCGCATCCCCCCTGCCTACACCCGGGGGGCTGCAAGAGCTTTGGAAAAGGGGAGGGGGAAGAAGACAAAAAGTGTGTTGATGCAGGAGAGGCGAAGAGGAAGAGGAGAGCCAGCCTTCGTCCTGCCGACATGCCTCTCCGTGCCGCTGGCGGGAGCTCGGCTCTGTCCTTCGGCCGCGGGTCCCTCTTCTGCGTCACCCAGCCCTGCTCGGTGAAGGACGAATTGACCCCCCCAAACTTTTTGTCTGTGCAAAGAGAACGTACAGGGAGAGCGACACGGGAAGCCATGATTATCCCAACTATAGGGTGGATTTTAACAGCCTCACTAGAGGGGGAAACTGGATCATCTAATTACCCCGCTGGTTTAAGCAACGAGAGACTTTCATCACAGCCTTTTCGAGGTGCGTGACATGGCCGTGAATCACGATAAGTCGCCCGTCCCTCCCAGGGCTGGTGTCCTCCCTTTCCTATCACAGAATGTCAGGGATTGGAAGGGACCCCAAAGGGTCATCGAGTCCAATCCCCCTGCCGGGGCAGAA